ACATTGTGCATCAAATACATTTAGAGATGGATAAACGGAGTAGTGGTGAAGGATGAAAACATGGGTGGCTTTAGTAAAATAAAGAAAAATAATATTACCCCATAAACATGCAAGATAGAAGAGACCAAAGAGGCACCAGATGGAAAGTTTAAGTTCTCACAAGAAAATGAAGGACATGATGGATAATATATGTAATGGAGAGCAGGTGAGGAGATGCTGTTATTTTTTTAAGTAGAAAGTTTGAAGGAGAACTGTAGGTAAAATGAGAGCCTCCAAATACTGTCAAAGGAAAAGAAGAGGAAGAAAGTAGAGGGGAGGTATTACTTGTGAGATTTCCCCCATTAAAAACTGATGCAGTACAATGTAGAGGGGGTGTGCAGTACAATGTAGAGGGGGGTGTGCAGTACAATGCATAGCTGCAGTGAAGTGTTGGGGTGACTTTAGACACAGGAGTCAAGTGAATTGGGATAGAGCAACAAAGGTAAAAGAGCTGAAGAAGTAGAGCAATGAATTTGCAACTATCAATAAGTAGATATGGGGCTTCAAATCAACATATTTTAACATTCATGTTATCACTGAAAACTCTCATACTTATCCTCCCACAAAATGAAGATTTCAAGCTGCATAACTGAGTGCTAAGCACAGCTTTCTCAGGCTAAAAATGTGCCTGACTATGGCAACAATTGCTCAGAAGACAGCTTCTCTCTTCTTGCTTGACAAGCAAAATTCCATCAAATGAAAGGCAATTGAGTCACTTTCTGATTTTCCTAAAATAACAAGTTTGTCCACACAAGTCTGTGAATATTATCTGTGGTTTATTCAGTATTTATTATCGTGTATGTGAAGTGGAGCCATATGTAGTGATAATGCTCAGTGCAAACAAACAGTACTAAGCATAACACTTCAGGAAAGGTGAGGTACTACATGCTATCATGCAAACAAGTGCAAAGTTTTAAGGTTTATATTAGGGTTGTATTTGTGAAGATTTTGCTATATAATCCACAGTATGGAATTGTACTTATGAGAACAGAATTTATCACATTACATTTTATTACTATTACTGTACAGACTAGAGAAATCTTTATTTTGCCTTCAATTTTCCTGTCTTATAAAAATACTGTGAAGAGAAAAAAATGTAAGGTATGTTGTTAGGACTTATAACAGCTTGTCCAGCTGTGGGGCATTCATTTGTCTTGTCTGCAAATGCTATTCCAATTATCTCAAGGATTTGTCTCTGCTACTCTCCTCCTCAGACTGGCTCTGACTTCACCGTTTGTTGCCCACAGAAATGCCCTGTTACTGCATCTGGAAGTGCTGTGCAGTAAATGTGATAACTTTTTAATCTGCACTGCCATGCCACTGAATTTCCAGCCTCTTTTTCAGCAAGAAAATGGGTATGGTGCAAACATTCCTGCATCTGTCCAAAAGTGGGAAAGGATTGTGCCATCTTCCTCTTATATTTGGAAAAGGCAGTTCTGAATTGCAAACCACCTGCAAATCCTGGCAATAGAGTCTGGCCTGGGACTTTTGTCGCAAAAATCCAGGCCAGACAACCCAGAACTTTTAAGCCAATTAACCTGTTGTGGATCACAGAGCACAGAGTCTAACTCAGTACACGCTTGTTGCATGTTGACTCATTTCTTCTGGGAGACCAAGTGCTGCAGCAGCTTGATCTCCTACAGATGCACCAGTACTTTCAAATCTCAGAAACCACAGATGGGGAAAATCTCAAATAGTGACATTTCCATGCCTCAGGAAGAAGGAGACAAAGTTTCTAAGGAGCATTTTCTGTATTATTTTCTGTGCATTTTCTGTATCATTCAAGTGTCTCCAGCACCAAAGATAAAGAAATGTTCCTGGATCCATCAGTGATCACAGCACAGGTTGGTAGATGAACCCTACAGGCTTAGATTACACAGGAGCACCTTGGAGAACTCTCACCTTATGTCAGGGGAGCTGGCTGTGCTGCAGACCTTTTCCCTCTGAGATTAAGAGAGCAGAACCCAGGCTCTGACCTCTGCATCACACTCAGTTGGACATCATCAAGGGCTAAAGTAATTTGCTGTTCCCAGGCACTGCTCCCTGCTGCTAAATGATCAGTCTGAAGACATTGGCTCTGCATCATCTTCTGCTTCTACAGCAGCTGGACAAGTGCAGGACCTCTTTAAGAAGTTCAGAGGCTGTATTTTCTCTTTATTTGCATTTGCATCTTGTTACAACAGTCACTTGTAAGATACCCAGTTGCATTTGGACATAACACATACAAATCATATTGGTCCTCCATAAAACAAATCACTCTCTGAGTAGCAGGACCAAAGGAGATGGTTGATTAGACATTTCCACCCCCTAAATCCTATGCCCCTCTACCTAAAACACTCTAGTGTCCTGTATTCTTTGCCCCTCATTTTCCTAGCCCAACATGTAAGGGGCAAACAAATGCGTGTCTTGCAAACCCTGAGCTGAAGGCACATCTCAGCTGCCTCCTGTCTCCTGAGTAAAGTTAGGGTGAGGTTTCTTCTTCAAAAGTCTTAGAGAAATATAATATTTTTAAACCTCAGCCTCTCTGCCAGATGAAGCTGAATGTGGCAAATAGGTTTAGAAATTGCTAGCAAAGAAAGGGAGAAAAGCACAAGCAGAGGCAGGTACAGACAGACACACGCAGCAGCTGCATAACCTTCATGTCTGCCAGAAACCAGATAGAAAATGACTTGGTCTGGGCTAAGGGGAGATTTGCCTTCTCCACTGTATAGCTTGGTTCCTGGGATGCAAAGGAGCAAGAGCGGGAACAGACATCTTCAAAATGTGGTAGGAGGGACAGACGCCCCAAGGCTGTCAGCAGTGTGGCTGCTTTGTGGCCCAGCTGGGCTGGGGACAGAGGCTGGTGTCCTGTGTGCTCCTGCTGGGCTCCTACTTGGGAGAACGGGAAGAACAACAGGGTGTGGTAGGTCTGTATGAGTCCTTCTCTTGCCAGTCTACATTTCTGCATGACCATGGGAGCTGAATAGGGGTGGAGGGTCTGATTTCTAGTTCTAGCTCCTCCTCTCTCCTTCGTACCTTCTTCTTTGACATGCTAGGTCATTTAAACTGGAATTTCTGCAGTACCTAAAACAGAGACACCCTCTTCTTATCCAGAACCTCTAGATGACACTGTAATACAGATGAAAAATAAATCCTAACACTTGTCCCCTGCATTTTTATTAATAATTAATATCAGATTTGCTTTTTATTATTTTAGTGGCTTTGTGAAAATAGAAATAATTGTTGCTGATTATTATTTATTTAAGTGATGACAACATGATTAATAATACTTCAGCATGGGAAGGACTCACACTGAACAACCTAGAATGGGGAGATATTATCTCTGTTGGTGGCAAAGCTCATAATACACACGCATTGGAAAAATGATAACCCACCTGTAGAGGAAGAATGATTAAAGACAAAGATGGATATGGCAACACACAGATAAAGGAGATCAATATTTAGGATATAAAACTATTTAAGAAGCTGGGCCATGAATTCATTTTAACATGTGCAGGCTGAAGTGAGGCTGACACACCTGTTATCTACCTGCTGATCAAGGTGGGTTTAAGATATTCCTGTGGAGACACACAGACCTAACCACACCTGAAAATATTCTTGCCTGGTAGACCCCCCACAGTCATATATAGCTTTACGAAAGTTAAATTCAGACAGTGATTTCTGTATCTGAAGAGTTACTGAATTGCTGAATATCTTTAGCAAAGCTCAGGCCTGTTGCCCCATACATTTTTTCCATTACAGCAAGCATCTTCCTGCTTTCTGGTCACAGCAGCTGATGCTAAAAGCCTAATATTTGTGCTTGGTCCTACAGACTGTTGCTACTCTGCTTTCTGCAACACATCTCCATCTTGTTACAGGAACAGAAAATTGTAGAGCTGGTTATAATATTTCCCCATAAAAAGTTGTTGGGTTTTTTTCCCAAGAAATTGAATTTCCTAAGGTTTTGACTATGAAATTTCACTGTGATGCTTTGTACATCCAGCCCTTTGGCTACCTCATCCTTGCACTCTTACTGCACTTCTCATAGCAACCAATACCTCACTTTCTTTTCAGGAGAGGACATGGTGGATATAAGTTCAGATTGAACCTGGCTCACTGAGGAGCAGAAGCATAAAGGGGTGGGACATGTATTTACTTTTTCCCCAAACACATTTTTTTCTCTTGGGAGAATCACAAATTTCAATTCATCAACTTCTTTGCTTATCAAAAGGTATACACTTTACCAGTCTGGTTTTACAGGTCTACAAGAAACACTTTAAATGAGACATTTTCTACATTTTCTATCAAATTTCTGTCTGCAGCCTGGAAGCCTTGGGAGTGCCTTTAGTAAATTCCCATTGAAATACCTCTCCTGCAGCCATTTCTACTTTTCTTCTCTTGTCCCTTTACTGGTGACTGCCAAATGGTTCTGCCATCATCCTGGAGCTAAAAATGATTTTAAACCATCAGCTGGGTTGCTGTCTAGTGAGTATTTGGTTAAGTACATGCTCAGCTGTTAAAAACAAAATACCTATGAAGATCTGAAGTGAGGAGAAAATTTCTACGCAGGGATGTATTCTTTCTCGGTCTCTTTTAATTTAACTATATAAGAGCTATTGAGTTCAGATAGTGTTTGCTTTTTGGTTACAAATGCCTGGATTAGAGTTGGAGTTTAAAGCCATGGTCATGCTAAAGAATATTTCCCTGCCTTCTCTTTGTGTTTATACTGCACAAGGTTTCTGTATGTTTCTTCCAGAGATTTTTCACGGTAATTAGGCCTAATTCTTTAATTACCTCCCCCTCCATCCCTAAAAATTCTGCTGCTTCCTAGTGATCCTGGATATAACATATGTTGACAGATATAAACAGGGGGACCTATTAGCATAGTAATAAATTTCCATGCTCTATAAATTCCTGTATCATTCATAATCTAAAATAAAAGATGAGAAAAAACCACTTTGATTTGTTATGTTTGGACTCACCTCCAACATGTGGATTTATATGGCAGGAAACTGTTTTGAAGCTCTCCATTTCTTTTGTCTGGAAAAAAAAAAAAGGCTTTTTATAATTTTTTTATGGACTACAGTTGGTCCATCAAGTTTCAGTTTCATTTTAAAATGTGCCCTGGGAGAATGCACCATAAATGCCAACATATTCAGCATCATGAACTCAAGATGATATCAGTGTTCTGTTGCAGTGACTCCCTCCAGTTCCCTTTTTCTAAAAAAAAAGGAAAAATAGAAGGAATGGTTTAGAATTTTGTTTATCGCCCCTTCCCTTAGAGGAGCAGAATACAAACTATTATCTTTCTTCCTCATCTTTGGTGCTGCTTTTATTGAAAATTCTCAGTCAAGGATCTTACTAGTGCATTTACTGTTGACCTTAGACAGCACTAACGTGATTTCCTTGCTGACTAAGAAAATTCAATGCTGCAAAGGACGTGTTTTGATTGACAAGCAATAGGTACATCTGTCTGCAGTCTTCTAGATTCTTAAAGATACTGCTGAATAAACCTTGCAGGTGCCACCTTGCAATAAACATAATTCATTCCCCCCAGAAACACATTCAATTTTAAACGTTTTGTGTAAAATTACAGCACTAATAAAATGATAAAGCATATATATCTGTGTATATATATATAAATATATATATATGTATATATATGGGTCAGAGTCATAGGCAATGTAAATCAGCACTAATCAGCTGAAAACAATGGCTACACTTTTTTTTTTTGTAGAATACGTCCCTTTTATCTTACTTATATTAGGCAATTTGTTAGAATCTGTGATAAAATGTTTTAAATATTACAGGTAGGATATGAACATGATAGCTATTTGACAAAGCAGCCCCTGAGAGAAAGTGCATTTTTCAGCCCATCAGAACTTAGTTCCCTTGATGAAGATAACAGATAGGTTTGCACTATGTAATCCTGTACATAATTATCTTCCCTACCTAATTTCTTTCTGTTGCTATGCTTCATTATCTTAAATATTTTTGTAACCATTTCATTACCATTTCCATCCCATTGTTCATTCCTTTATCTCAGATTTTTTGTCTGACATCATAAAATTGAATATTTATCTTGTCCTCTCTACAGCCTTTAATAACTAGCCTGGTGTCAGAAGCCACAACTTTAATAAATACACCCAGCCTGATGTATTATTAAGCCTCCAGCTTGTGCAGAGAAGTAAAGGAGTCTGCACTGTTCTGAAGAAGCCCCTCCAAGAACCAGCTACGATGTTTACTTGCTGACATTTAAAAATAATGGAGTTGTTTACTCAGTGTCTTTTTTCTTTTTTCCTCCAAGCAAATAAGTATAAAAGATCCTGTGAAGGTTTTGTTTCCAAAATGGCATTCTGGGACTTTTTGCCCCTCTTTTTTTTTTTTTTTTTTTTTTTTTTTTTTTTTTTTTTTTTTTTTTTTTTTTTTTTTTTTCAAGTGTAGAAGTTTATTACTTTTAATGATTAGCCAATTAGAAATACCTGTGGCAGCTGACCTGTTAGAATGGAGAGAATTGATTACAGAGGCTCAGGAGCAGGCCCTGGCTGAGTCATGAGGAGACATGAAAAGGTACAGTGGCAGTGAAGTCTCCTGGCACATGAAGGAGTGTAAACCATTGATCACAATATGAAATGCTGAAAACTGAAAAGGAATCCAATTTATTCTAAATAAAACTACTCTGTTCTCCAGTGACAGATTCCAGAGTCAGACACCAGAGAGGAACTGACAGCAGATGTTTTAGAGCCAAGACACAGAGAGGCTGAGTAATAGTATAGAAAAGAAATTGCTTTGAACTTCACCCCTGCTTTAAATACTTCAAATCAATAGGGTCACAGAGCTCTTTAATAGAGTGATGAGGTCTTGCCCCAGCAGATCTTCACAGTGACAAGTTGATGTGCTTCCTAGCAGCAGGGTCATAAAAATTTCAGGCTTCCCTCTGAAAGGGGGCTTTGTATTAGAGAGGTCCATTTGGAGTAACTCCCTTGTATGGCCGCTCTCAAAAGCTGAGCCCTAATAGTCTACATCTAAATGGGACTGACCTCATGAATTACCTCAAGAAACTTAATCTATAAACTGGCTTCTTCTTATGCAGACTGATGAATTCTTGTTTATTCCTAAATGGCTGTCACAAAACCTATTCATCAAACTCTTAACGGGGAAGAGAGTCTCACATAATCCTGCTTCAAGTGCGGCACCATTAAATAATCATTAGACTTCATTGCTGGTCTTGAGACCCACTCCAAATCCACAAAGCAAGCTTTTTACCATTCATCAGAACTGCATTTAGATGAGATTTTGACCTGATAAAAAAGGGTGTTTTTTGTCACTATCAGTTTCATGGCTGTGCTCTTTCTCCTTTCAGAGGCTGTGGTGGGGTTTATTTTTTTTTCCCTTTCCTTAACAAAAGTAAAAGAAAATAAAGGCAGATGGCCAACTCTTTCCAATATCCGTTTGCTTTATTTGAGCAGTTTAATGTAGTGAAACAGAGTGAAATGTTGCTACTTGCTAAATGGTAAACAACACCATTACCCAGAATTCAGCAGCAGACTGATACAAAACAGGGTGCTGGTGATTAATTAAACTGTTGTTATAATTGTAATGCATGATACATAATAGATAGTGTGCTGTGTATTTTAAAAGCTTCAAATTAGCGAAGAATAACTTCCTTACATAGCACATCTCTATTCCATGCTGTTAGTGCACAAATAATCAAAAATAAAAGGTCATTACTGCTAACTAATAAAAAGAATGTATTTTGATTTTCCTTACCCTGTAACCATGTGTCGGAGGAGTTGCATATTGTGAGGCATCAGGTCATACAGCCCTGCAGAAAAAAAATGTGAGTCTTTTTCTCCTGTGTCTCTTGGATACAAAGGCACAATATTCATTATTAATCAATAACAATTAGAACGATCAGCCTGAGCTGCAAAATATCAGGGTCTGCTTCTGAGCTGTTGTAATTCCAGCTATCATCACCTCCCTCAAAAGAGCAAAGTTCATGTTCTGCAAATAACTACAATGAACACTCTCATTCATGTGGCAAACTTGAGTGTGGCTCTCACGGAGAGGTAGGTTGAGGTTACTTTCCCTATTCTCTGGGATACTGAAGCAAGTACCTTAATTCCAGAGTGATAGTGTGCCTTGTTGTGACAGGACAATATACATCTTTAAGTTCAAACATGCCCTGAATGCCTAGCCAAACTTTGCCTAAATCCCTCTTGTGTATTAGGTTTAAGCCAATAATAAAACAAGCTTATTCTGCTAATTTTTTTCTTTGTTTACACAGTATCTGTTAACCAGGGCAGGATGCTCTGGCTTTGATGGTTTCTCACTCACTGCCAAAGGGTTGGGACTTGATCCCTCAGACTGTGCATCTCTGTTGGAGTCTCTGAGCTGCACTGCTGCAGCCTTTTTTCCATGAATGCATTTATGGCACCTGTCTTCCCTATGCGATACAAACACCAGTGTGGATGATTGAGGCACGACCCATGGCAATTGCAAAACTTAATTTTCTTTTCCAGCTCTGAGTGCTCCTGTGCCTGTCACCTCTGGCTCATTTGTGGGGTTGCAGAAGTTACTCTGGACCATGTTGTTCCTGCCACTGGGAATCAACCAAGGGCAAAAAATGTCCCCCATTGGTGATACACTGCTAACAGGTTAACTGTGAAGGGTAATAATCAAACTGAATACTTCACCATTTCATTTTTTTGTTACTGCTAAAACAATTATTTTTTAAAATTCTTAAAAATAGAGAACACTCAACCCAAATAAGGCCTCTTCTGCTTTCAGTTTTCTGCATTAATTTTTAATGCTCAGATACCTTCGCATAACCAGCACTATATTTACTCTCTGATCAAGATTTTCTCCTTTCCCTGGCACATATCTTCAGATACCCTATCCACATACTTATGTGAGTGCTTAGTTCCCGCTCAGTTCTCAGTTAGTGACTAAGAAGGAGATAGTTGAAGGGAGATTGTGAGGGCTAGAGGAGAGAAATTAAGTACAACTGCTGCCTGTGTTTACAGATGAGGTTCACAGGATTACGTGTCTCAGAGAAATTTAATAAGATTCTGTGAGTACGTGATGTACTCTACTGTCTTGTGTGCATAAGAGATGCACACAGGTCTTGACATTCATATTTATTCATAAAGGATTCTGAAATGGCATGATTTTAAATATAGCCTAAAATCCAGGGATAGTAATAAGGATGGAGGATGACAGTGGAGCCTGATGTCTTAATTAATGCAAAGGCTAACCCTGATCTTTGAGAAGTGGCAAGTTCTTCTGCCTACACCATTGCTGCTGTGCAGAGAGGTGTGAATCCTTGGCCAGAATGCAAAGAAATAGTGCAGCCTATTCTACCCTGTTAGGGGGTAGAATAAACATCTATCTCCTACCTTTTTCAATATCCTTTCTGCTGTTCCCGTGATGTAAGGATGTGCTGTTTATCCATGCTGCTTAGTTTCCTTCTCCTGCAATTCCTTCTGTTTCTCTCTGTGAGGGATGTGGGAGTGTCTGTAATAATTTTTTGAATATTATATGTTCCATCTACTTTTTAGAGTGCTGTTGTAGTGCTTACAATATTGCAAGGGGTTAATTCCAGTGAGGCATCTCAGCTTTGAGGGAAGGAAACAACAAGAGAGGAAATGATGTTGGGATAGTAGACCTGGTGATCAATTTGCAGAACAGTCAAGGCAGGCAATGCCTTCAAGATTTAGCTCCCTTTGCTTTGAGTCTGGAGTATTGAGGAAGATAATGTGCTGAAAAACAAAGATGTGGAACAGGAGAAAGAAAAGTTCCCTGAGTAGGAAAGCAGAAACAAACCAAATTTCAGTTTCAGGACTCAGAGATGACAGCTACTGTGATCCATGTCCACCTCTGCCTCCTTCAGCACCAGGAATCGCTTGAAATCCAGCCCATAATGATTTGTAGGTCTTTAACTTTCAATTAAATTAAAACATTGCTTCATCATCCCATACTTCTCTCTGTTTTGGCTGCTTGGCACCATCCTGTTTTTCTTAACATACGAAGTTTTTCATGTTTCCAGCACTTCCTAAATTTTCATCTGGCTTCATACTGCTCTGCAAAACCAACATCTTCCAGAAATATTACTTGATTATTTGTCCAGTTTCTTGCCTTATCTCCCTCTTTCTGTATGAGTCTTTATCTTTATGGTAAACAGTACTTCAAGGAGGAATTGCATTAGCTCTGAATTTACTTTTTCATAACCTTAGGTTAGTCACTGTTTCTTCAGCATTTTGTTTTCTCAGCTATGGTTTTGATTGACAGTAAATTTTCAGTTTAGCTTTCCCACATATCCATACCTATAGACTGCAACTTGGCTGCTTGGTTTATAATGTAAGACAAGCTGTAAGAGTCTGATTTTGCTCAACTAGTGCTAAAGAGTAAGTAGCACACAATTACAGTATTGTTCTTTCTTGATGGCTAAAACACTATTGACAGTCTCTGTCAAATACCTTTTATGTAGGACATCTGAAAGACATTCAAAATGTGTATTGAGACACCTTTCAAAGTGCATCATGCTTCCTATGATTAAGTGATTTAGGGAGTGGGTAATAAGACACATGATTTTACCACTGATTTGCTCAGGCATTTGTGACAGATACAGGAGGGCAGTTTGACTCTGACTATGCAAATGAAAGTGATGCTGACCCCACAAGGCGCTATCGATACAGGAATGAACAGGATCTACTTTGCAGGAGGGTACAAGAGTAAAGATGTTTTACCTGGTCCATGAAAGGGGTTTGTGAAAATATGTGGCCAAACTAATATTTACTGTGCAGGAATATTATAGAAAATGACCCCTGAGTTTTCCTTTTAACTCTCAAAAAACTTACTGAGAACAGTTTACACTTTTTTGACCTCTGTTAATGTACTGTAATGAATTTACATTGATTAAGGTATTTTCAAGGCAATATAAGCCTCTCCAGCACAACAGCCTTGTAACTTCTGATTGATTCCTCACTCACTCTTTTAGTGGCATCTCTAGTTTCTTTAACTCTATCTTCTCTCCCTCTCTCTCTTCTACTCTTTTAATTAAGAATTGTACTGCTCTTTGATTTTTTTCTCATTTAATAGGCTATGTCCTGTGGCATTAACTCTTGCTTTCCCTGATTTCTTTGATTTTTTTTTCTTCCTTCATAACTATATTAAGCAGAGTGAAATTTCAGGAAGATATTACTGCCTGTCCAGGGAAAAATCTTGAATCCCACACCCAGAGTGATAGATCTGTGTGGGGCTTCTCAGCATCATTTATCCAAGCGAACATTCTTCTTGCCCTGTGATGTCAGTTCCACTATGTGTGAAGGTCTGGTGTATTTTTAATGGACATTTCAATCTCACATCACCTCAGAGGGATGGGCAGTGTCTAAAGGTAAGTATTTATATTAAATATAAGGGTCTTTTTTTGTATTTGGTAAAAAACATATTAAATAATTTGGTATCAGTCATTTTGTTATGTAAATAAGGTTCGCATGTGTTTATGGAGACTTTCTCTAATGTCACATATTATTATTATTAAAGATGGGAAACAGCTGGATTTTTTTTCTATAACAATGAGAAAAATTTTATTAATCTTGTTTAGCCCTTGACAGTCATGTTCAGATCAGTGTCATTCATTTAGTTTATATAAGCCCATGAAAAAAGTTTATAAAAGTATGCAAGAAACAATTAGGTGAAAAAAAAAATGCACTTCCTAGCCAATCTGAAGTAACTAAGTACCCAGATAATACCAGGCTTGCTCAAAGTGTCATGAGAAGCAGCTGTTTGACCATGCTGATTTCATACTGAGAATTCCTGAGATTCCTGTTGGATTTGAGATTTTTACATGGTGTGGTAGCGTGATAAGCACACACACTTTAATAACCATCTTAGGAGTTTTCTGGTATCATTGTTATGCTGCAATAAATGTAATTCCTTTTTTACCTGGTACCTTGTTGTCTGTAAAAGATCCAGCAAAAGTGCTGTAAAAGCTGGTACTCAGAAATCTGAAGGAGTGTGGGTGGTCATCAATTTCTCTGTGGAGAACCTGGTAAATGCTTAGGGAGGTCTTTTCTCTGATTTTATTTAGCTGTCATGCTGCTTTATAGATGAGTCACAAATGATGTCACAGGTGGAAGAAACTAAAATTCCTGGTGTGAACATCTTATGCACATGACAAATCATGACCACCTAAAGAACAACAAAGTTGTGAAGTCTTAGTTTAAGGATTTGTGGGGGAAACTGGGGAGGCGTGGTGGAAAATGACCTGTTAGCATCTTGGTACAGTAAAATAAAGCACAGGGTTTTTTTCTATACAAATAGATTAAATCATTAAATCTGGCACCAGCAAAAGTGAAACTGAGTTTTTCTTGCTGTGAATACTCTGCTTCACCATTCAAATACCTTCACCATTGGCATTTGGACACCATGGAGAGGGCAGCAATATCTTGATGGCAAGTCTGGGTTTTGACTCTTCCTAGATGGCTGCTTGTCACAGCTTTTGTGTTGGTGTGGAAGTTGCCACTGTCCCTGGAGTCACAGAGACAAATAGACTCTCAGAGGGTCTGGTGAGGCCTCCACTCACATTATTGAATGTTGATAGTTGCAATCTAAATAGCTGCTGTCAATAGATATCTTTTCTGGGGCAGAGGGTAGAGATTATTGAGGAGTCACGTATCTGGACAGGGATCAAAAACTGCATCTATATTGTCAGTCAGGGAGCTCTGCACAACATTGAGTAAAAACATGAGTAAAACATGTCCAACATGATTTTACTGGAAATGTCAGACTTAGCTGATCTAAAAGTATTTTTGACAAGCCAGTGGTTCTTTGTAGTACTAGCTGGAACTTGCTTTGAAGTGACTTTGCTGCTTTTTTATACTGCAAAAGCTCAAAGGTCAGTAGATTTATCCATTCAAAGGTCTCTGTGGAGAGGTCAGCTCAAAGCTTCACTCTGTTTCACTCATTCAAACGAACACAGGGAGACTGCAGAGGTTAGTTAGGAGACAGGATTACAGTGTCTGCAATGTGGAGAAGGTGTGCCTCTCAATGTCCCTATTATAGCTATTTCTATGTGAACAAATGACCCAATTCATAAACCAATCTTCTGTGCTCTACGCAGATTCTCTAGAAATCCATCTACATTAATAATCAGTAGTATAAAGGTATTATCTACCATCACATTCAGAGGGCTTGAGGGGTCTGCAGTCATCAAGGTAAGACCTGTAGTATATGAGAATCTGGATTCCTGAGAAAGAGTTTTTGCTGAAAATTGTGGTTTTGCCTCTGTGTTTGTTCATGCGTGCATAACCTTTTGTTTCAGGCATGCATCCTCTTCTACTTATCCACGTTACCCTGAGATCAAACAACTGCAATGCATTCTACTTGCAGCTGTTTCAGGAGGGAATTTAACAGCATGAGCTATCCCACTTATCAAAGGCAGGGAACATTTAACAACAATGTGCCACAAACCACAACAATTCCCAGTGGTCTCTTGGGTAGGATTCAAGGTGCTGGCATTGGCCTTTATAAACCAAAATGGTCTGGCCTAGCTTGTTAAAGCCTCCCCTCCACACAACACTCCACAGCAGTAATTGAGAAAGGTTCAAGCTGAAAGTGTTTTGGGATATTGCTTTGATTGTATAAAAGCTAGAGTTTTTCTTCTGCAAATTCTCCCAAGTATATCAGGTTTTGGGGGAGATTATGGAAAGGACTGTAACAAGAGATTGATGGATTGTTCATCAGAATGGAATACCACATTGTGAAAACATATATTTTCATGACTTTTCCTGTTGCTGGCAAGACGTTTCATTTGATTTTGAGTTGAAATCACTAGCCCACTGGCTCAGCAATTCATTCAGGAGAGCATAATTTTATTTGCAACACTGGAAGAGCAACTATGTGAGCTCTATCCTGCTGTCCTAAAACTCAGGCTGTAAGGGCAGCCAGACTCCAAACATCTGTTTAGTTCCTAACACAGGAACTATTTCCCAGACTCTGTGGTGATGCTGGGGCAATGAGAAGTGAAGGTACTGCTGAGATGCACTGATTTTCCCCAGGAATTCTGGTTATTGAAGAACCTTGTCAACTCTGTGCCTTGGTGGTGAGAGGATGCAAAATAACAGAAAAAAAAAAAACCAAACAAAATAACCCCAAAAACAAACCAACCAAACCCAAAACATTGTATACCTGTTGTAGAAGCAAGTAATTTAATTACTTCAAAACAGGCACTGAAAAAAAATAAAGTTATTTTTTTTCAATTTCTTAGGTGTTATAAATTAGAAATCTTGGGTTTTAAACAAAAGATTATCTAGACTTGTCCACAGGAAACTTTGTGTTATTTTCTGTTATTCTCACAGATAATTTCCTTTTGAAGTTGGGCACTCATGTCATCTGGTTCTTCATTCCCAGCATGGAAAAAGCCTTAGGACACAGCC